TTTCTAAATTTGTAATTTGTTTTTGAAGAGACGTTTTGTCACTTTCAAAAGACAAATCGCTGGGAACTATATCATCAACTGAGGGTTCTTAAGAAGAATCAAGAATCTCCCTACTTTTAGAAGAAGGGGCTTTTGGGATAGAACTCCTTGAAGAAGAACTAGAGGAGCCGCCTCGCGTAGATTCTAACCCTGTTCGAAGCCTACCTCCTCCGCCTCTTCTGTGTCTAACAGGGGCGTTGGGGAATTGATCTAGAATTGGAACTTTTTTACGGTTAGGGTTTGAAGAAGACATTGTTAAGAAGGAAGTATGTGCTGAAGATTTGTGAAGAAGACAAAGGAAGACAAAGTTATGTGTAAAATGGGAACCGTCAACTTTTTAAGTGTAATGATGAAAAGCCTATAATAAAGGCAGTTATTACTTCGTAAATAGTGAGAATGAAGAAGTCTCGAAAAAGGGTATGAATAGCGGAATCAATTAGAAAATGACACATGGGCAGAACATTAAATGGAAAAGACTACTGAGGCGTTAATACTGTCATGAACATTAATTGTGGCAAAAATTCATTTTACATGAAGATCCACTTCCCAATTATTTAATTGATAAAAAATGGAAAGTGGGGGGACTATCTGTATTGGGAAAAAACTGAGTTTATATTAAAGATAATGTGGCATGACACGTGGATTAGTTAAATGGTCAAAGCGCAGCAATTGACTAAGAGGCACGGATGGAGACAGCCACGGGAAGAAGAATTTAAATAGGCACGAGACGACGTATAGATACGAGTCTCGTACCAATTTAAATTATTTACAGCCAACGGATTAGAAGGCATTGAAGACAAATATCTGATGACAGAAAGGAGTCCAAATTTATTATTAAATACTTGATACGTTACAAAATTGGTATTTAATAGGAATGATTGTATAACGGCTTATTTAATGTCATTTATTACTCATGATTATATCTTTAAAGCTGAGGCTTCATTCCTTTAACTAGAATTATCTATAAAAGGAAGAAGTATCATCATTTGTAAGGACACAGAATACTATTGAGAATTTATTGAAATACACATCTATTTGCTTTTTTACCATCATTCTCAAAAGAATTTTATTTTTGTCTCCTGATTATCAGTAACCCGAATTTCTTTTTAGCTTTGACCAAAGACTCAGATTTTTGGTTAAACAAATAGATGTTTAGATCTTACGACGTTTTGAGAATGTTAATCTTTAGTAATATCTATATGTCATGCTTTAGTTGTGTTGAATGTTTAATATGATTATGAGTAAGATAGGTTCATTGTTATGAATAAATATTAGTGTTTTAAAAGGCGTTTTTGGGGCGAGCTCTGAGGCGAGGCGGACCAAAAATGCCCCGAGACGATGGTGTGGGGCGAAAGTCTCAGGAGGCGTACGCCCGAGCGTTTGACGCGTGTTCTTTTAGTGAGGCGAAAGTCCTAGAGACTTTATCAAATTAAAACTAAAATTGTTGAATAAGTCTTTCATATATACCCAAATTCTCAAAATTCATCTTGGTAATTACTCAAAAGTTTTAAAAAGGAACTGAAATGTATTATATTTAAAAGTCAAGACTTTTTTTATAGATTGAAACCCTAATTCATGGTCATTTTCAATTCTTTATTTTGTCCGCTAGTCTGCTAATATCTCCGTAAAGCAACGAATATTCAATTTTTTTTTACAAATACAAAGAGAACTTCATTCTCCTTCATAGCAGCAAGTTCAAAGTTCAAATTGCAGGTTAGTCATCATTTTTATTCTTTCATGTAGAAAACTTTATTCTTTTCGACTCAAGTTACTTGTGCTTTTAAGTAGCGTATAATTGATTGTTTTGACTAGTTTTTTGTGGGGATGGAGCACACATATATATATATATATAGTTTTCTTCAATTTTTAAGCAATTTTATCTGTTTATAAATATTTACTGTAATTATATTATTTTATAAAATATTAAAAGTTAAATACCTATGGGGTTTACACCCGTACCTCGGGGCTTACGTCTCGCTGAGGCATATGTAGAACGTCTCGCCTTATGCCCACGCCTTTTAAAACAATGATGATTATTAACTGTTGGGATCTTGAGTTGTTGAATGTTCAATTGAAATAGTAGGCTCATCAATATCAGAATTATCCTTTGGTGGTAAATGTGCATCACTAGACCTGAAACTGAACGTACGCGTTATAATTGGAAAACAAGCTCAAAAGTGAAATACCCACATTAAAAAATAAAAGATCCTTGCAATTTAATTTCATTAAATGATATTAGGCCTAATAATATTCTTGATTACATTCAAGCAGTCTGTGGCGTTGTGTCTTGTTCACGAAGGAGAAGGGACCTCAAGATAGCTTCACCAATTGGACCAACATGCCACAAGGCATGTCCACCATCAATAACTTCATGATAATGAATCCAAGGTAGCCTTTTGGAAACATATCTTTGTAAGCGACAAGGTACTATGTTGTCCTCATAACCTTGCCAAATATGAACTGAGCTTTCATTTTCATCAGTAAATGGATTACCAAATTCTAGTGGATCAAAGTCCCAGTTTCCATAAGCCAAGGTGAAGTCTTGGAGAAGAGACTCAAAATCACTTTGCTTTGGATAAAGTTTCTGCCAATTAATTAAGACAAGTCATCATTTTCAACATAATCATGATGTAATAAATGGTGAATCAAAACTCATGTTTGATTTGAGAGAGGTGGATGATGAACTTTACTTTACCGGGTTAAAAACTTCCGATCTATTTGCATTCTTTGCAACTTCCCTGTCCTTTTTGCTAAACAATGCGGAATTGCCCGAGAAAACACTGTTCGATTTTTGTGTAAAAAATGAGTAGAGTAACCCAGGAGCATAGCGTGCGAGCAAAATTACTAATCGCCAAAGCTTGTTATTGTGATCGTTCTTGATCAAATCATGAGGAAGGGAGTTCCATTTGTAGTTGATAATTGGAACAACAAAAGCCACGCCTGATAGCCTGTGTGGTATGCGTCTGAGGCAATTCCAGGCAGGATAGCTTCCAGCAGAAACTGAAATTAGATAGAATTTTGATCCTATTTGTAGTTGATCGGCTACTTCTTCTACATCACAAGCTTCACTTTCTAATGACCGTTTCGGATTTAAACCACTTTCCCCATATCCAGCTCTATCAAACTGTAGCATATATATCCTCATCTCCTCTAGGATTTCCTAAAGAATAAAGTTAGTAGATCAATCTAATGGCTTTTCATAAACATTAATTGTTTCGGCAGACATTAACTAAGAGACAAATAAACTGTTTCTCTGAATATGAAGTATCTTAACAACCATGTTACAATCTATTATTAAAAGAAAAGAAGTCAGCCATGAGAATTTGCCAAGTGTCGCGTTAAGAAAATGCCATGTGGAAATTTTAGGAGAATATTAGTTAAATTAGGTAAAATTAATTTCTTTCTTTAATTTGAATTTCAAAAAAATAACATACTATTCTGAAACCAACACATAATATAACTCCATACGCGTCTTTGACCTATTAACATCTACTGTTTTCGTGCTTCAGACCCACGATGCTCTGACAGCGCAAACTCAAACTGCTTAGTCAAAAACCATTTTTTTCTTCTCAACAAAAGTCGATCTTTTTTGAACTCCCACTTTATCTGTCAAAATCATGAAACCACTTCATCTGACTTCCAATTTCTTTTAAAAGGCATAGCAATCCACTTTCACGGATTCTTCTCCATGGAGAATCAAACAACCCCTTTTCCACACCAAGCAGATACAACATATATAATTAGAAACGGCGCAAAAAAACTTCAGTTGCCAAAGGTTTGTTATTTGATTATCATTACTATCGTTGTTATTTGATTATCATTATTATCTCTTAAAATAATTTTTATGTATTTTTTGTTTGCAAGCATATAACTATAATGCCATTAGACTAAATCTTTGATCTTCTTTGTATATAAATGGGGTAAGAAAATATAATTGATTATTTTCTTGAACTTAAAGGCAAAATTATGAATTCCTTTGGTTTCACGTGCTACATGTGCTAGCAAGCATTGGTAATCTTTGAGGAAGTCTTACTCATCGAAATCTTTGCTTAAATCTATGGGGTTGCCAAATTTATTTTCCTATTATCTTCTAGCTTGTGTAATTTTCTTAATAGCTCTGACTTTTACCATCTTTTATTTCTATGTCATTATTTTCTAACAAATCATCTTCTGGTGCCTCCAATTTATGTTACTTGGTTTTATAGTTATATATGTCACTTTGTAATTATACTTCTTAGAAACAATTATAACAATATGCTTCTGGAATCTTATAAGTAATTAAGAATTCGAACACTTTGCTTAAAAATTTAAAGTGATAAAGGAAATTACTCACGGCAAATAATGAGAAGCATGCTCTTTATTATTCTTATAATATATTGGTTCTCTGATTCACTGAATATGACATATTGAATAGCAGAAGAGCAACATAATTTTCGATGTATAAAAAATAATTTTATATACTCCTGAACACTTTATCATATTATATGTTACAAGAAATTTGAACTCTACACTTTTTTTAAGTTTACTCTTTTTAATTGATGAAACTTTGAATACTATCACGGAAAGATGAATGTATTAGTTTTTATCTCAAAGATAAAAAAAAACATTTGTTTTTGTTTCTGTGTCATTGTTGCTATTTCTATTTCTGCATAATTTTATTTTATTGGTCAAATTGTTTGCTTTTCTTATTCACACTGCTTTCACTTCGTACTTTCAATGGGAAATGCTGGAGTGGAGAGACTTTTAAATACATTATTGCCTGCATTTTTCTCTTGCTCAATATAGAAAAAAAAAAAGAAACATGAAAAACACTCTACCATTTTTAGTTTTTTTTGTGACAAATATGATCCGTAATGGAATTAGTCAATAGATTATGCAAAGTAAATTTTTTTACATGTATTTTACTTCGAAAAGCTGACTTAAACTAACATACAAATTTCTTCTACAGATAAAGTTGAACCCTCCAAAACTGAAATTATTTTGTTGAAAGTGAAGAAAGAGTTCCTCATTTGTCTGAATGGTTAGTCAAAACATCATCGATTTCATATATTTACAATTGTGTTGTTACAACTTACTTTACTATAATTTATTCTTATTACCATTTTTGGTTCAGTTGATTAATATTTATACAACTAATGATGCATATGCAACTCATTGTCTAGACATGAGAATACATCATCTTCTCCCTGATTTAAACACAATTCCTGAATTGCAAAGTTATTACCTCCGTTCTGCTCTTTATTTAAAATCTTTATCATATATATTTTTCTTCACTTATTTTCTTCTATCTGTATTACTTATAAACATTATACAATCTCATCATAGGTATGCACAATGGCAATATATTACCTGATTTTAAGTGACGCTTCAACTGAAGAAGGTATTAACAGTTTGTTCATCATATTAATTTTTCGTTCAAAGTATACCATAACTTAACAAACCATTACTTTAATCGGCTTTTTCCAATTAGTTATAATAATCTTATTACTTTGTAGATATGCAAACATATAATTCTCTACCAGATATGAATGAAACTCCAATAATGGAAGGTAAGTATTTGAAATTCTCATTTATTTGTCAGTTAAAATTAAACTACAATGTTAAGATTACTGGCAATTAATTAGTGCAATACTCTCACTAGAAATCGAGGATGCAATGTCATACAAGGTATGTTTCTAGGAGATATCGATTTACCTTCAAGTATTGACATCATACTTTGACGTGACAATCTAAATCTAACATCTTGAATTTAAAAAAGAAATTATTAGGCATAGATCAATATACCCGCTCACAAATTTTACACATAATAGGGCAACCGCAAATTAATATAGAAGATGAACATAGATGAAGAAGAGTATCCAAGTATGACAACCATACCATCACACACTTCTGTTATTATTAGTAGCATTTTTGGGGTTTTATGCATTTTCTTGTTAAAGAGAAAAAAGGAGCAGCAAACATACTTTTAATTCCTAGGAGACTAGTACGATAATTCTTCAAGATTAGGAAAGTAAAATGTTGTATTACTAGAAAAGGGTGTTAGCTAGTCATACTTGGGTTGCAAGAAAATCCTTATCTTTGGAGCTGTTAATCCCATGGACAAGGATGATTCTGTGAAGGGATTTGTCCATTGGAACTCCTCTTTCTCTGTATGCCAGCCATCTTCCATCCTTTAGTCTGATTCTTGGTGAAGAAACAACTCTCTGCAATTCCCTGCTATTCGATGGTGAACTTTGAGAATCAGAAAACCCCACGAAACTTAACACCGAAACTGCAATTTTCTTGAAAAGCATCTCCATAAGGGATATGAAAACTAATAGAAGCAAGCCAACAAGTTTCCTTAAATCCATTTCTTGGAAAGAAAAAGAAATAAAAGACAGAGGAAAATAATGGCGGTATTGATTTGGGCTGTCAATGAAGGCTTTTCTCGCTCTGAATAGAAGTTGCTATTTTATAAGTAGTACTGTATAATCAGTGTTTATGATAACAAATTGCAAAGTTTATATTTATCCAAGGGTGTGAGTCGGATTGTTGAGATTCTATCCCTTTAACTAGATATCTCGAGTTCCAGTCCTAAAAATTGAAAATCTTTCAACAAGAAGCGTTTTACACTTTTAATGGACGTATCTGGCGAGAATCCGATAATTGGATCAGTGAGTTTTAGAATAGGAGAAGAGTCTCTCTGTTTTACCCAAAAATAACTGATTTTACTCCTAAAATGAAAACTGATTTTTCACGCTCATGTCGCGTGTCCGGATACTGCAGAAAAAGAGCAGCAAAATCTAATCCATATTACCGTAATAAGATAATAAACAAATATACTGTTAGTTGCAGATCAAACGATACGTGAAATAACCCCAATAGAACAGTAATTTTTTGTTTGTCTGTCAACCCTTCCTGCATGTTTCTCATAAAAATTACTGCGAGTATAAACTAACATGTTATAACAGATTTATACAACACTAATATTATAAAGGTGACGTGCCATAGTTGTGGGAGAAGATAGACTTTTACTAATAAGAAATCTTAAGAATTTTTCAATCAGTCCAGCCATACGCTAGCTGTCATCCTCATTTTTTTATTGCACTAAAGTAACTCCTACATTAGTGATCAGAGTTCAACTAAGAGGCCGTTTGGATTGGCTTGTTTTAAGTGTTTTTAAGTCAAAATTGCTTTTATGTCATTTGATAGTGTTTGGATAAAGTAAAAAAGTACTTTTAAACACTTGTTTTTAGGCTAAAATAACAAAAACAAGCCAAAAACCAAAAGTTAGAATTCCTAACTTATGGCTTAAAAGCTATTTTGGCTTAAAAGTCACTTAAAACAAGCACATCCAAACGGGCTCTAAATGTCATATAGGCGTTTCCTGTTACACCCGTTTGGCCAAGCTGCCAAAATCTGCTTATTTTGAAAAGTACTTTTTTTGAGAAGTACTTTTTTCAAAAGTACTTTTGGAAAAAAACAGTTTATGTTTGGCCAATTCATTTAAGAAGTAGTTTTTGCAACATTTGACAAACTAATTATGTTTGACCAATCTTTCTAAAAAGTACTTTTGAGTGTCAAATTACCAAAAAGAATAGTACCTAGGTCTTATAATTCTTTTAAAGAGAAAAATGAACTCAAAAATTTATTGTAATAGACTTTTATTATTTATTATTTAATTTAATTAAAATATAAAACATAAAGTAAACAAACATATTAAAGATTTAAATCAATTTTACATATATAGTTATACCAAAGCATATATTATTATCTAGTGTAATTAATTACTTATTGTTACATGGTGATTTGAATCATCAAAATACATCATTCAATATAAATTAGAAGTCTATTCCTCAAATTACTATATATTGATAATCTACCATGAAATAATAAGTAAAGTCACTCACACATGATAATATTTCTCAACAATTTTATCTCTACGTCTATCACACAACGTCTCCATATTAGTAGAAAAATTGCCTTGCATTTCTAAAGGAATATCAGAAGGCCCATCTCATTCCTCAATTTCAGCAGTAATGTCTTCATTAGCATAATAATTGAATTCATTATCGATAGAAGAATGTCATCAGATGAAATTATGTATAGCCATGGTAATTGTAACTAGATGATTCTGAGCGTCAAACTTGAAAGATGGGATTTAACGTAAAATAGAAATAATTTTAAATATGTAAAAAGATAGTTAAGTATGTTTAAATTTAAATTCAAAAAAAGTGACTAATTATTAACAACACATAAATGTAATTTTTTTTAAATTTAAATTCAAAAAGAAACTAATTAGTATTACCTAATCTTACTAACTTTGTCCTAAATTGCCAAATGGCCTATTTTCAGGCTGCCATTGGCTTAATCTGTGATGCCTTTTCTTCTTTTGATAATATATATAGATAGATAGATTATGCGATGGAATTGTAAATTTATTACCTATTTGTAGGTAATTTTCACAAATTAAATTTGATAACTGTTTTAACGATCGGGAACTAATAGCATATAACAGAAGAAATTATAAATGATTATTTTTAGGAAGAGATTTGATAATCCAAAGAAGGATGTAGCTAATTTGCTTTAGTGTGAAAAAAGAAGAAGATAATTTGAAAAATTACAAGACATTACACAAAGAACAAATCAAAAACAAAAAAAAAGTCAATAAAGAAGTTGGAAAGTTACAATATGATTCATGTATATGATATGATATCTTTAATTTTAAAATAATGGTAAAAACTAAAAACAAAAATGAAAAGAAAAAACTTACATTTGTAAGTGATAATTTGAAAAATATAAATTTATAGTGAGGATAGTTTTGTCTTGAATACATTAATTTTTCACTTCTGCTTCTGCTTTTTCTGGAAAAAACTAGAATTTTTTGCTGCTTCCCAAAAGAAAAAAAACTGCTTCTGCTGCTGGCGTACTTCTCTGTATTGGCCAAACAGCTTAAATTTTTTTAAAAGTACTTTTTTAAAAGAAAAAAAGTATTTTTGACCTCCTAAAAGCTTGGTTGTTTGCAGTCTTGTTCAAACACTTTGATTACAAACAGAGAGGGGACGCGGGAGTCATAATAAAGAAACATTTAATTCTACTCTTCCTAATTTCCTTTTTTTTTCAACATCTGTTTATCATCCTACTCTTCTTTCTTCGATACCCACACGTAGCAAGTCTCAGTACGTCTCTAGTACATATATACTGGTAAAATTTAGATGACAAACACAAGTACTGGAATAATGGAAAGCTGGTTCACCATTGTGGTCACATTCTGTATCTCTTTCTTCCTCATACTTCTCTTTAATCTTTTCTTCCAGAAAACAAAGAAACTCCCACCAGGTCCCTTTATCTTCCCAGTGATTGGAATGTTACCATTGCTAAGAAAAACCGGTCGTGATCTCGAACTCATGCTTCGAGATCTCAAATGCAAATATGGTCCTATCATCGCCGGAGCCGTTCAAATTCGAACCGTAACCATTAACCGAACCGATGTCTTATTGGCTTATTGGTATCAGGTAATCGGGGTAATGGATAGTGAACAAATTGAAATTTTATAATTAACTGCTTAACGGTTTGGGGGCAGATTACTCAATTTTCTTATCGAATAAATCGTTAACCCGTTAAGAATTTTTATATTTACACTTCTATCTTCATTGAGTATTCAAAAAATTTGTTCCAAAGTAATAGATCCCACAGTATACTATGTACATGTTGGATATGAGAACAACAAATACATTAGAATAGAAAAAGTGCAGCAAGATGCTATGATCAAAAAATGGCCAATGGGAAGTGATCACAGTCCTTTTCTTCTCCATTCTTGTTTGTTTACCGTCAAAATGGTAACAACAATTAAATTTGTAAAATGGGATTCTAAAAATATGTGATCTATTTTTATGTTAGTTGTTAGAACAGTTGATGCTAAGAATACGAAGTTTAACGATGAGATGCAGCTAAAACGGGGCAGTAATCAAACCGAGAAGTTTGTTGTCCGGGCTTCGGACTGGTCGATGAAGAGCCTCGGGGTCGATGTTCGGCTCGAGCTCGAGCTATCGGGAGCAACCGGAAGGGGGTAATAGTTAAGAAATAATTAAACAAGGCTCTTTATGACCAATACCAAGAAATAAATGAAGAACAAATATGAAAGCAATAAATGTCAAAAGTGGTCTCGAGCTAGTAAGAGCGAGCAAGTTAGAGAAAAGAAAAAGAGAGATATTATTGATCTTGTGTAGAGTAGTTGGAGCAACAACAGCCCCTTACAAAGTAGTGTGGGTTTTCTTTATATAGGAGAGGGAATACAATATAGTATAGAATGCATTAAATGTAAAGACATGGGGATGGGATGGCTAGGCACGATACTAGACTCTGCTGATGCTAGTTGCTCGCCTCGGGAGTTCCCTACCCTCGGAATCTTTGTTGGGTCGTGGGCGAACCTCGGGGGAGGGAGCTCGATCGTAGTCCTGCAACCTCGAGATACTGATACGACTCCCCGAATGTACCTTAGTGGTGAGAAATAGATCCCTCCGATTTCACCGTATACATTGTTATTTGGCTTGATAATTAAGGCTGCTACTTCATTTGGGTGCGGTGATTGGGATAGTCTCATATCCAACATGTATATAATATACTGTGGGATTCACTGCCATGTGCAGAGAAAGTGCCTCAAATATACATTAGAACAACATATGATCGAGTTGTGAAGCTAGAGCAGCAAGATGCTATGATCAAAAAAATTCTATTTAGTTTAGCCGATAAACCGCTCGATAACCGCCCGATAATTGTTAATCTGATACCAATCCGCCCGTTGTCTTATTGAATGGCTAGTGAATTATTACATTTAAAATCGAATAACCGATAAGCCGAACCGTTAAACGTAATTATCCGCCCGAGAAGCACCTCTAATCATCGCCATTAAAATAGGCTACTCATCTCCATCCATAGTCATCAGCAGCCACTTGTTAGCCTACCAGGCTTTAGTTCAGCAAGGTGCCATTTGCTCCGATCGGCCAATTGCTTCAACAACCAGTAAAATTTTCAACTCTAACCAGCGGACAATAGCATCCAGCTCTTATGGTCCCACGTGGCGGCTCCTTCGTCGAAACCTCATCTCAGAAATGCTCCATCCCTCTCGCATCATCAAGTCCCACTCCAAGAACCGAGCTTGGGTACTAGGCATACTCATTCAAANCTACTCTAACCAACGGACAACAACATCAAGCTCTTATGGTCCCACGTGGTGGCTCCTTCATCGAAACCTCATCTCAGAAATGCTCCATCCCTCTCGCATCATCAAGTCCCACTCCAAGAACCGAACTTGGGTACTTGGCATACTCATATAAAGGCTCCTTCTTTCTCATGAATCAGCCGCACCTGA